TGAGGGAAATAAATAAAATTTTATCAAAAACAAAAATATTTTTTTCTCAGCAGAAAAAATTCTCTTCGCTATAAGTATCAATGGGGTAGAAAACAAAAAACAAAACAGAATATTGGAAAATCTATAACATGAGAATATATTAGTAATAAGATGACAGACTTGTTGTTGTTATTTGTCGAAGCAAAGTTCTCTACAAGAGATTAGGACACACAACAATCATCTCTTCAGTGAACTGAAAAAAAAACTCAAAACATAGTTTGATTATATATATGAACAAAGAATATTTTCAGCCCAGAGACAGTAGATGAAGTATTAAATAAAAAGCATGACAGAGAGTATCTCCTTAATTTGAACAACCTAACAAACTTATGAAGTCGATTAGAAAAGTGATTTGATTAAAGGGTACTAGATTGAATAGATTTCAGTACTAACATTAAACGCGTATAAAAAGAGTTCATCGAACGAAGTCAACAACTTACGGTCTGCTAATATTCGAAATTCCACCCATTCCAGAACTACCAAAATTTGTATCAAACATCATCTGATAAGCAAAGGGGGAAAAATACAAAAATTATTTTAAATGAAATATAAATAACACTGGTAAAACGACACGATGTACATAGATATTAAAGTGTCTGTAAATCGGACTTACTACATGGAAAAAATACTTTTGTCAAAAGTAGAATTTTTGAATGTATTCCATGGAATTTAATACAGATTTACGAAATATAATAAGTTAGGATAAATTTTATAAAAGGACAAACAGTTCTATATCCTCTCAACAATTTCATATCATTAATAATCATATCGATTAGGATTGACATCCCGGTTCATCAATTTAATATTAAACTAACTGATTCAGTGGAATAGGGCATACTAATTGTTTTTGTAGAAACATAAAATAATGAAATAAGGCTCATTTAACCAAGTTCCTATATTAGCAATACAGCACAGAGATTATCCAACATTGTCTTTTTCATTTCGTTTACTCAGACATATCGTTTCAAATAAATAGTCGAACGGAGATAAATGGAAAACAAGTGTGAGAAAATACACATTAAGAGAAAACATCAATAAGAAATTACACGGGTGGGAGGAAATTCCAAACTTTCACCATATTGGGGATGGTGTTGGTTACAAAAAACAGAGAACTACACACAAACACAATGCAACTGATAATGAATACAAATGACACAAAAAATAGCTAGAATATTATCGTGTACTCTATATGATACTAATGTACATAAAGAAAACTGGTTTGACAATTTTTTCCTACGCGATCGATTGATTATTAATTAGTGACTAAAGTTATGTGTATCTAGTCCATTGGTGCTGATCAAATTGTTTGGTTTTATTTAAATTCACTAGAGGAACAAATTACACAAATTTTATCAACCAAGTTACAATCTGGCCACTAATCTAAATAACTGAATATCGCATTTACTATGTTGAAATGCTAAGTGGTTGGAGGCAGTCGGTAGGAAACTCAGGAACAAGTTTTATGCTAACAGGCACTCATCAACTAAGAATATATCTGCAAACTTGAGAGGACCGATGCATCTTTTGGATTTCAATTACAGGTTAGCCTTGCGAACGAATGCTAACTAGGACGAAACTTCAGTGCAGAGTATCCTTTCGACTACCCCCTACTACCATCAAACATTTACTTTTTTCATGATTAAATAGGGACTAAACCATTTCCAGGTGTCATTGGACTGTACATTAAAAAAAGTAGGATAAATGACTATCCCACTATAATTTTAGTATACATCAAAGTATGAATGATATAGACTGCCTAAATCACTGATAATATAGTAACAACGACAAAGATGTGGTCATGATTATTGAAAGAGTAATTGACTCATTTGTGAAATGAACATGATGATTGCTCACAATCTTCGACTACATATATATATATATATATATATATATATATATATATATATATATAACACAAATGCTTGATACCAAAAAAATAAAACAAAATATGTAATTCTGACTTAAATATTAAAGCCTAATCTCATGACGACCACTCATTTACCAGTTAACTAATTATTAACTAAAATGTTGATTATCACTGACCGTATATAAACTTATCAATATTCATTCTTATTTACTTATACTACTCATGTTAAGTGTGATATAAATTTCTTATATACATATATAATGTTTCAAGTTTAAATGCAGAACTTAAAATCGTACGACATGCATTACTGAGATGATATTTGTGAATGTTCAAATAACAAACATATACAAGAGTATCAGAAGGGGTTTTGTGGAGATTTTAGTAATTTATAGAGTTGAGATCATGAGTCAATTGAAGCTAGACCACCATGGAAAACCTGGAAGCACTGGACGGCCGTTTCGTCCTATTATGGGACTCCTCAGCAGTGCGCGTCCACGAACCCACTCTCGCGGGATTCGAACCCAGAACCTACCAGTTTCGAGCCGAAGCCCTTAACCGATAGACCACTGAGCTGGCATCCAACGGTGTTAATTTTTAACTTCAACTGATTCACGAAATTCAGCAACCATTCACCAATGTCATCAGTGAGTTCCTATCTCACAACAGACCTGGTTGAACTCCACCGGTTACTGCTTCTCACTAGAACTCCAGGAAATACCTCAAGGAGTCAGTCACTAGTGAGCACCTGATTATTATCAGAAGTGCTTCCAGGTTTTCCATGGTGGTCTAGCTTCAATTGACTCATGATCTCAACTCTATATATACAAGAGTACTTAAATAATGAAAACATCTTAATAGTTGTATTATAGATTTATCTATTAACCGAAGCTACTTTCATTGAAATTATGAACCGATCAATGTTATATCAATCAAACTTAACAATCCCAAAACCCTACATACTGATAATTATGTGGTCACAAGTAGTGTCTAGCTTCGAGAGGTGATTCTCGGATTTTTAGTGAGAAACTGTGACCAGAGAAGTTCAAAACGTGTACAATGTGAGGCAGTTATCCACAAAAGACAATTAAAGATGGTGGTGCAACATCGTGGATTGATTGAAACTAGACATTAACACCGCTGGTTGGCAGCTCAATGGTCTAGAGGTCAGGCGATCGCGCACGCGAGACCGGAGGTCTTATGTTCGGCTCCTGTGGGTGTGCTTGATGTACACTGCTGGAGACTGTCATACTAGGACTAAACGGCCATCCAGTGTTTCCAGATGTTCAATGGTAGTCTAACATTGGTCGGTTCATGACCAATGAAACTCACCAATTCTCGCAACCCTATACTGATGAAGCTAATTCCTTACTGCGGTGAAATCAATGTACAGGAAAACCATTGGTATTTCCCAGAAAAACCTCAATGTCCATATACATAAGCTTGTTGTACTTCAGCTACAATCTACAAAAGATTACGATATGTCCGCCAAACTAGCTTTATGTTGACAGTGGACATTATGGACGCTCATTTACAATATTATTCAATAATGATGGTTAGACTAAATAAATCTTGAAGGGGGAATAGCGCTAGTTCAAGTTGTCGGTATACCAACTATAGAAAAACTTATATGATAAAGAAAGGAGGAAAATAGATGAACTAAATGTATCTTGTGTTTACGAATAAAAGCTAGAAGAAAATGAATGCGCTGAGTCTATGATAGTCGATTTCAAATCATATATTAGCAGGTTTTTAAACATCTCTGTACACGTTGAAGGATTCATCAGGCAAAAATCGATAATTCCTTAACTCATGCTTCATATACCAGCGACGCATATGTATCTGGTGCCCCTTTGTACCAATATGTATGTGTTTAAATAAATAAATACATATACCAGCAATTCGAATAGTTGTCATCATTAATGAAAAGCATGTCGCAGATAAATATTAGTATGCTAATAAGATGAAATAAGCCTATCTAGTCTTTGTTGCACAGTTTCCCCCAGTGTATATACAAATAGTACATTAATGAAACAAAAACAAACCACTTTCAAAATTAGGAAACAAATAGATCTTAGCTGCTGACTGTGAAAGAAGCAAGATTTTGAAGATTTAAAACACTGGTTTAGTACGATCGAAGTATCTTATCGACTTAAAAACCGGAACCATCTTCCACCATTCTGAATAGTAAACAATAACAAATTGAACATGAATGATTGAAACGTTTATAAAGGGGAGAACAATGGGCTAAAAATTGGAAAGATATTGTGAAAAATGTATTCGTTCCATAGAATAGTCACCAACATATCAATATAATGCATCTAGGTGACATATGGCTATGTAACCATATGACAATAGCTACCAACAATTCTGTCAATTAAGAGTCTAGGCATTTAAAAACCAACTAAGTTGGGGAAACAATAGTTAGTGTTGCACAAATTTACTCATGGTTCTTGGTTTTGCAGTTATCAAATCTAATTATAGAGAAATCCGGAGTTACTGAAAATCAACCTTTCGACGACAAATATAAATATTTTGATAAATTATAAGCTTATAGAATGAAAACTGGGCGAAACCCAAGTCTTTCGTATCTCAGCATTAAAAAAAGATAAACTGTTCGGTATACATAAACTACAAACTTAGATGGGGAAGATCAGATCGACAAAGTTACGTAACAAACTGATTTCATATAAATAATATCTATGTTAATTTTATCTAGCCCAGTAGAGTAGAAACAATGATGATGACAATCATGCACCTAGTTTGAAAGTGAAAAGCATCGTGGTGAAAAAACATGAGGACAAAGTACCACTCAACCTGAATAGCTACATTCTGAGGTAACAGTATCTATTGGCGTATTCAGATGACAAAGCACCATTAAAACAATTACTATTATTATTACACACATGCAGGCATAATACTCGTGTACTTACCCAGGAAATAATATAGAATAACATATTATAATTTTTTCTCAGTAATACATTGATATACCAATAATTGATTGATATGCTAAATAGTAGTAGCTCATACCGTATATATATATATATATATATATATATATATATATATATATATATATTCTTTTCATTCATTAATAACTTCATGATGGTGGTAGATGTTAGAGTCCTTTTACGTTTGTTTGTTTGTTTGTTTTAAATGATATGGCATGAGAGTATGTATATGGGGTGACAGTATGTGAAAATACAAATATAAGCAGATAAGTTAATATAAGTGTTTGTATGTTGATGAATTTACAAGTGGGGAAATATATTCTCAAGGATTTTGTTTGTAACCTATATGTAGTTTAGAGCGTGGTTTCAGGAGACCAGGAATAACGTTCTGTGTACCCAAATCGTTTGCCCTAGCGGTGCGAGGTGATAAAAGGATGTGGGAAGGGGTTAGTCGTGGAGATAAGAGAGTTGTTAGGTGGTGTAGGAAAGATTTGAAATTGACCAATTTGGTCTCGTGTGCTGTTACGGGTATGAGGGCATTTATCACTTCCCGGCTGCCCACACCGTGGAAGGGTATTTCTTGAGGGACCTGAAAAAGAAGTTGGATTAGTATTGGTCTTAACGACCTGGGAGCGTGACCGCAGTACCCAAGGGACAAGTGCTTGAGGCCGGTCACGCACGGCCTTTTTGTGGGGGATTTTTGACATGTTAGCTCCGTTCTTCAAAAGTCCTTACCGCCGGAGACGGAAATCCATGGGATAAGGCGAGGTGTGCATTTTTAGGGTCGACTTTTTCTAACCCCACCCCTCCTTGTGGGAAGGCAGCATCGCTGTCATGCTGGTTGTCTGAAGGAAACACCTTACTGCTTTCACACTTCTGTACAGTCAGCAGTACGACTTCGCCTTCGGACCTTGGGATTGCTGCTTTTAGTCTCACCGCTCTTCAACCGACCTGTCTGGCATGGTAGGACCTTGAGGAACGATTGTTCCAGCCAGCATAGCTCGATTGGATCATCACGATAGGCAAGCCCGACCACCACGTCAAGGTAGCAGCAGCCTTATGGCAACTCGAACTGATGTACGTACGTACGAAGTTCTACGTTGTGACTGACTGACTGACTGTTTGTAACCTAATGCTATTCTTTATCAGAAGAATATGAAGGAAGAATCATTCACAGCTATCGAATCTATTAAGCACAACCATAGCGAATAATAATAAACAAAGTATAGAATCATAAGCCTCATTAGATGTGGTCCCACTAGTTGTAGAAATATTTATGCAAATTAAGGTTTTCCTTTTTATTAGATATGAAGGCATCTTTTACACGTTGCAGATTATTAAAATGAATAAAAAGTGAAAGGATAATGCGTACACAAAGTAATGTTCAATCACATATTGACTAATCAATGGACATAATATAGGCTTGCAGAAAGACAATTTCAACGATATATAGTTATCTACATAGTTCATAATTATCTAAAGATAATGACTACATGAAATAGTTTATACAATAACTTTAGAAACAGTAAGACATTTATCTTGACAGAATTTAGTCAACAACTGTATCTATTACAGACCAATGATTCTTATCCCATAATCTAAAATAAACAAAAATATTGATCAAATTCAAATGCCATGACGATTCTATGAAATAAATGTAATTTATGAAGCAACTCTATAACTAAGTCTACCACGTTTATGTACTTAGAATCACAATCCTATTGTAGGGGGATAATGACACGATCCAAGCTTCCAAAATAAATTAAGTGTAAAATGGATGAATATGAAGTCTAACAACAAAAGATAGAAGGGATTTAACGATGACATAGAGATTTCTGAGTTAACGACTTGAACAAGCAGAACATACTACTTGGTTCGGCACCCTACTATATCTTCAATAACAAGATCGTGAAACACAGAATTGTAAAAATCAGTATAGGGAGATGGCAATGATTGCTGACTCTTCTAATTTACATTACCAATTTTCACAAACTCTCTATAGTAATAATAACCGTGTGGACAGTAGTGACTGTTTTCAGGAGGTAGTCCAGTTCTAGTAAAGTCGTGAGCAGTGAAATCCCATTATATTTGATGTGAGGCAGTTATCCACTGATATTATTGGAAGATGGTTGTGAAATATAGAGAAGTGGCTGAAGGTATGAATATAAAGCACTGGATGCCGACCCAACAGTCTAAAGGTTAAGTGCTAGTCGGGAAAATTGAAGGCTGTGGTCCAATCACAGGTGGGGATGTGGATGTGTACTGCTGGGGAATCCCATACTAGTGTAGTGTCCGTTGTTATGTTAAGCCCGTATACCTTATTTTTAGCTTCTGGACAAGCCAATTCACCTATCCATCATGAGTCATGTTTTGACCTTGTTAATTATTCAATTATTAATCCTGACTATTTTTTTATATGAGCGTATGTGTGTATACACTTTTTATCCTATTTGTCACATGCCTGTCATTTATTTTTATCTCAGTTAAATATTGATTAACTCTTGACTAAAGCGAGTTGGCTTACAAGCCATCTCCAGTGCGTGCCATTTTGCTTTGCTCGCTGGTATTTACTCATGCACTTATAGCTTTCTGGCCGGCGTTATTTGACAATAAACTGTAGCTGCCGCTTCTCTTTGCCTTCTGATTTTATGCACCGGTAAGATTTGTATTATAACGGTTATCGAGGTGAACGATTAGCGAAGCACGGTATTACACTAGCAATAAATAGCTATCCAGCGCTTCCTGTTTTTCGATTGTTATCTAACTAAGATAAATCCCTGGTATGAACTACAAACTTGTGAAAATTAGCATAATTTCACAGATGTTGCATTGCAGGCTAACTTTCACAGGTTTTAAAGACAAAAGTTGAAAATAGTGAACGGAACAGTGATGTCTCGAAACAAAAATATAAACACTATACCAGATATCAACATTCTGTATAAAGACTACTCAAAAATGGAATGCTATTATAAATAAATTAACTTCATGTTGTAAAAACAGTTACAACAATAACAGCAGTACTTTTTGGGAAATCTACATCAAGAAAGTAAGAAAGAGGAATTTAACCATGGCTTTAACAGTAGGTACTGTATTCTCAATAAAAAAACTACTTACCGTCGATGATGACGATGTTGTTATTGTTGTTGATAGTGGTACTGAAGGAGGATTTTGTTGTGTAGACGAAACTGAATGACCATCTGAGTTTGGTGTCAATGCGTCAGAAGTAAGATTAGGTGGAGAAAGAGAAACAGCACCAACACCAGGGAGATTGACACCACCACCAGCACCCATTGAAGACAAAGGACTAGGTACTGATAATTCACCTAAAGGAATGTAAAAGAAGAAACTACACTTCGATATACATATATAAACTCTTATTCAGAGGTATGTATTGCAATGGTTTATTGTTAAAATTTCGATGGAACAATTTAATAATATCGATCACGCCAATATACAAAACAATGTATGGAACCATGTATCGTTATTCATTGACAATATTCAAATGACAATTTAATGTGGTGATTTTATTCAAGAAAATCATCAAATCTAAGCTCCTTGAATATATGCACTTTGTCATATTCAAATGATTTATATGGCCAAGATGATAACCTTTGTCTTCTTATTACACTATCAAAACTTATCAAAAGGACTAATACCTTCAAAATAATTCATACTCGGTTCTTGAACAATGTTTAAAAACTAATAGAAGATTCTTATCCTAAAATAAGGATCATCATCTACACTTAAAAACAATTGATTGATTAAATGATTTAATATAGCAAAAGATTAGCTTAAAAACTAATTTCGTTTACGGAAAGATGTTACGGAAATTTACATGGTTAGCTTTATATATTCTTAACAATGACGATCTATAAGGCTGTTGTAAAAAAAACTAAAACATAAATATATACTGCACATAACAGCGCATTAGATACACATAATACTAATACTATTATTATTGCCATCATTATTATTACTATTATTATTATTATTGAAAAAGAAGTCCATCCCACACCCACTTCAGTAGTGTATCAGGACAGCTGATCAAGCAATATTATAAATGAAACTAGCCGACTAAATGATAGCTTCTATTTTCCCCACTACCACCACCTACCTCTACATCATATTATTTATTATTGCCATCCCAACTAGGTCATGAAAGCTAACATAACAACTACCACCCCAATACTACTTTGTTCCAGTTACTGACCCAGGCTACGACGACATAAGAGTGGAGAGAGAGAGGGTGAGGTGAAGGCGCAATTAGAATTGTGTTGTTTTTGTTGTTATCGCTGCTAGTACTGATGTGATATATAGAATAAAAGCATGCTGAGTCGGATGGGTCTTATAACGTATACAAGATAGTGGTGACGGCGATGGTGGGGTACGACATAAAATTGTAGGGTGGTGAGACATCTGTCTAATCGATAAAGGTAAATGGTGGTGGGGGCAAGACGAGGAAAATAAAAAACAAAGATGAATTGTATTTGTTAAGAGAGAGAATGAGAGCAATAAGGCAAATTTACCCTATGTACACACCCACAAACCAAATGGCATGTTAACACAATAGGGTGGATGAATCGACAGGAAAAAGAAAATAGGCTACTTCTGTTATTATGTGTAAAGTGATAGACTCTAAAACGAAAGGTCTATATATAAGCTTTTACAAAGAATGTGTGTTCAGAGGAACTGGATACATAAGCGAACAAACATTCGTATAGGTGTGTACATGTGAGTTGACACACACAAGCATACAAAAGATATACATCATCTTTTCATACATAAATTTATGCATGTACATACTATTGGGTGTGGGTAGAACCAAAGAGAGATATAGGAAAACAAAGAAAAGAGATGCGGATAGATTGACTACATAAAATGCTATTAGTCTCAATAATTTTTATGTTAGAGAGCTTGTTTTCAATTCTCGCGACAGTTGAAGCCTATATATATATATATATATATATATATATATATATATATATATATATATAGCTGTGTCCAACGGTTTACATACTAAGGGAATAGTATAAGTTAGACGTGATGTTTATGTGGTTAACCGAAATAAGAAAATAATACTTGCAATCTCATCATACACAATAAAAAGCACGAAAGATTAAACAAACTAATCATAGAACCATCTGATGTTCGATCAGCATCATTATCATCTTACCTCCTGCCAGAGATGAAATTGAACCTATTCTGCATGAATTCGATACGTTTGTAGTGCCAGCAACTACAGGTGATAACGAAGATTTAACATTGGATGTAGTAGTATGTTGTTTATTATGAAATGTTCCAGTCAAAGGAGGAGCAGGAGGCGGTGGGGGGTCACTACAAGTTGTATGCGATTGTTGATTTTGTGGTGATGTAGTACAACTTGGTGTACCACTACCAGAACCACCACTTAATAGTGGCGGTGGATTTTCATCAAATTCTTTGTGATCTAAGTCAAGTGAATGATCTCGTTGTGCATTGTTATTCGTTGTGGTGTTATGATTCTGATTATTACTATCAAGATGTGATAGAGTTAAGCCGTTACCAGTAGAATGATTTTTGTAAACAGAAGAATTCGGTCCACCATTACTGCTATTACTATTCCCATTATGCTTTGTTGATGGAGTACGCCGACCGGAAGAATTTGAGCTTTTAACACGAACCTGTGTATGTAATTCAATATTAGAAAAATAATAAATGACCATGAATATTCATAGTAGTAGTAGTAGTAAGAATTTACGATTTATAAAAAAAGTGCTGCTAATTCCGTCAATATACAACTACAACTAATCAAAGGAAAAGATATCATAATGATTGAACGTAAACACGTACATATTGAACATTTGACTACTTATTTTACATAAACCTGAGTTATTCTATCAGCCTCAAAAGACATAACATGCAATATGCTTTTGAATACAAACTTTTATAAATTCTAAACGGACCAGTAGTAAAATATAAACAATGATTTTATTGCGATGGTTAGAACTCTGAATGAAGTCACTGATTAGTAGTGACTTGTTCTTAAATGACATGACTTATAAAATTGGTTCGATATTCGGTAGAGTCGTGTGCATATGCACAGCTGAGAAATCTCATGCTAGGACGAAAAAAACTGCACAATGCTTCCTGGTCTCTAATAGTTATTTAACCAAAATAAGTCCGTGATGTAAACTATGCAACCGTTGAAATATTTAGTTTGATAGTCGTTTAGGGAATCCAACAGGAAACAACTATTAAGACTAAATATAAGTAAAGGTTTACTAGTCAGTAAGACCTATGCACGATTCCTACGAAGTTCTTCCTACACGTCTGGGATTTGAACGTAAGTTATTCAATGAAATCATATATATATATATATATATATATATATATATTCAAAGATCATTTAGCATACCACCCAAATTCATGTATTCATAACAGAGCTGTTAGCCAGTTATCTATATTGTATACGGATGATACAATAGTAATTACTCACCAATCCGTTTTCTTCCAAAGAACTATTACCAACCGCGTTACATTTGTCTCCGGAGGTGGGCTAACGACAGAATTGAAAATGAACATGGTACTTACTGTTTACATATATACGATTTACATCAAAACAGATACTTCAAAATTGTAGAATACCAAATAATATAAATAAGCAAAGAATTATCACATGTGTATTTCAACGTCAGTGCATATATGAGACATGCTCTAGTACAAACGTGAATTGGTTTTCTATGTAGATAATAGTGACATAAAAAACATGGAATATATTTATTTACCGTAGTTGTAAAGTTTTCAGAAAGTGTCTTCAAATTCAAGAATATTTAGAAAGCAAACAATATACTATGGTACTTCTATAGTTGTTAAAATGACATTTCGACAAAACTGAACATAGGTATCTATATGTTCCAAAAGGTAAGCGTTTTCATTACTTTGTCAAGAATTTGGATCTTTTAAAGTAATTATTTTACAGCAGAAATACATGCGCTCAACAGTTATAGTAATATACATTATTTTTACTTGAGCTTTATCATTGGATATTAAGAAAACAAAATAATATTAACAGATTCAATAATGTATTATTATATGATCAGTAACATTTTACACGCTAAGAACTCCCAGTAATTCATAAACATTATTAAGTTCCATACTGGAAATTAATAACTACAACAAAAAGTCTAATTAATTAACGCTTAAAAAAGAAATGCCCAAATCACTGTCAATAAAATATGAATAAATCTATGGAAGATTTACAAAAATAAATAAGATAGAATACAAAAACACGTAGTAAAGTATAATTATGTTAGAAAAGTGATTACTATGCAAAATGTTGACATGTAAAAGGAAACAAACTTACTCTTTCAGTTTTACGACGTTTCTCATCTGGAGGTGCATTTGAATGTATATCAAGCAAAGCTGGAGATCGAGAATTTGCACGTTGACGACTTGGACAAGAATTAACACTGGGTACAGGTGTTGAACTTTTTGATGGTGGTAAAACAGAACCTGGGTTAGGAAATGTTGATGATATAGATGATGATGGAGGTAATAGATTATTTGGACCAAAACCAGATATATCTGGATGTAAACCACCGAAAAGTCCAGACGATAAAGGAAGGCTTGAATTAAGTCCATCATGTATATCTGGATTCATGCCTACTGCTGCAGCAGATTGAGCAGCAGCAAAACTAGCCATTGTAGCCATTAAATTATGCGCATCCATTGGTGAAGACCCTGACAGACTATTAGACCCGAAGTTTAACGGTAGACCAAAAGCTCCTGGTGGGCCACCTTGTGAGGCAGCGGCAGCAGCGGCCATCGCTGCAGCCATTGCCGCAGCAGCTGCTGTTCTCTGAAAATAACAACGAAACGTTTATACTTCAAGAGAGAAATTAATTATGATTAACAAGAAGTCGATGGCAGACAGGAAAAAGTAGCTATGGGTGAAGATAACCATTTTTTGTCTAAAAACTAATATAAAACGTACTAAAAACACGAATTCCGGTATAAATACAAAAACCATCAAATTATGGTGAAAAGGAAAAACATCTCCGTAACTATGATCGGTATAGTATGAAAAGTCACTAAACATTAGTTTTCCATTTTTCAAAATCTTTATTCAGTATAACCAAACAAATTATACCAAAACGATTATGGAATAATTTGGTTTAGCTACAAGAATATTTCCACTTTGATTCAACTTTAGGTTAATATTGGAAGTTGAAATAAAAGATAGCATAGAATACGAGTAACACATTAAGCAGTCCAAGTTTACAATCAAATCAACTAATGAATATTCCATTAGTTTAATTTTCCATTTAATCAATGGATATGATTCCAACGGAAATTGATGACTAGGAACAAATATGAATTGATAAATGGTGATGGGATGATTACTCTTTTGATCTTATTGCTTCGGTTATTCATAAAGATATTGACTAACCGATACAAACTTAAATCGATAATATAAGTCCAACAGTACACAAAGAGAAGAGAAAGTAAGACGATTACATGAATAAAACAATGTTTGTGATAGTAAGACAAGAAATTAGAACTATCATGGAGTTAAAATCCCTATACAAGTATAATGAATCACCAGTATTATGGCTAGTCATTCAACTCGGGTAGTGTTACGCAAACAGTAGATGACAGGACGTGTCATACATAAATCTAACCATCAATCATTTTAAAAAGCTTGAGAGAATAAGAAGCGAATAACCGCATAATGGCTAGAACAAAACATGTACACCAATCCATGAAAATCCCGGCAGTTGTTTCAAATAACATAATGAAATTCCACATTTTTAGCTGGCGGGCATAGCAGAGGAAATCCATTACATATATTGGGTGAAACTGTAATGTACATTTTTATTACGATACAACAAATACAGTTAGAAAGAATAATCAACTGTTAACATTCGAACACAGGTACACATCAAGGGTTACCTTTCCAGCTTACGATCATCTTTAAAAAAATGAAAGCGTATTCATAAACATATACTCTGATTTCATTAGAATAGTATTATTTTAATAATAGATATCCCGATGCCCAGTGATAGTGAATAAGCTCCCATCAACTGGTTCGTCGATAACTTGAGAAAATGGTTTTTCTTTATAATCTCAAAGGCTATTTTGTTTTGAATGAAGGATTGTGTTTTACAGAAAAGCTGAACCACAAAGTAGAAAAATATTAATAAGAAAGGCGATGCACCACGACAATGAATTGAATCAGCTGGCTGTCAGAAACTAAGTAACATTTTATTATAAACAAAACCGATTAGTCAGTTGGTTAAATTCTATGTTAATAATGCTACATCAGAGAATTCTATACGAAAATTAAAACTTTATCGCCAATATCATCATTATTACGAAAGAAATGTAAAAGATCTGTGTCAGAATACTCTAGAAATTTAGCACCCCTGTAGAATGTAGGTTAAGCTGCTGTGTATAATCAACTTGTTAGTTATGAATGGTTGTTCTTCACGGGGAGAAATAACAAACAGACTCACGTAACATTCAATAAATTGTATTGATAATATGTTATAAAACTAACAATGAGGTCATTTTCTTCACAACTTATATACAATTGAACAACAACTTTAATCGATGAGGTCATATCAACAGTACTGCTATCTAATGATTCTAACATCCGTTTGAAAAAAAATACTGGATGCCCATTATGTCCAACACATGGCTTGACGAATAAATCCATCTATACAAATCCCTGAAGTCTAAACCTGAATTCAAACACATGCATTGCAACCAAGGTAATAGTGCTAAATATAAACTACTGGGATAAAACGAACACATCTTGTCCAGTGAACATTTATTTTTTTTAATGACTTAAATTTTTTTTACAGTTGAAAGTGTTTTGTGTATCATAAACGAAAAAAACAATAATCACAACCTATGCAAATGTAGCCTGCTGTCCCAGACATACAATATACATATATAATGTAACAAACAAAAAAACTAACATTCAACATCATAGTTGTTGTCTGTCTATCCCTCCTTATGACACAAAAGCATATACAAGCTCTCTATAAGCCTTCTCTTATTAAAATAAGAGGCTCATATAGAGAAACAGTGAATTAATTTGTGGTCGTTCAGACCTACCACCACCACACTTACTGTTACCTTAATATTCATTTTACCATCACCCCACTATCCAATAGATAGTTGAATGGCCTCGACGGCACGCGGAAAGGCATTCTATCACCCTAATAATCATGGTATGTCTCATTCTCACCACCCCATGATAGGAACATACCGTAGACCTCTCCCCATGTCATTAGAAAGCTGGTCAAATAGAAATAAAGAGGTTGGGAGAGTGAAGTCAGACATCAAAATGTATCGGAAATAAGATGCGTGTGAAACTTAGTGAGGGTGGGTTATGACCACACCCAAACACAGATGTGAAAGCTACATAATCGAAAAGACTGTTACCATTGGAATGGTGAAAAGTATGTATAAAATCGAAATGGCTAAGGTCTCAGATCGCTGGACAGTTGAAATGCATTGACAACCAGTGATGGTAAATGCACATTACGAAAGGTATGAAGAGGATGAAATTATGGTGAAAAAATAAACCGGGACGTATATGTTAAAGCTTGGAGAAAAACTTTGTTTCATTAGCATACCATCTAGAAAGTTTGGGCGCGTTATATAGAACTATTGATAATAAATCCGAAAATGATGTCTTTTTTATCCTCATAAACATCCAACACACAACTATGTCTTACCATGGATTACGGAAAGCCAGCATATCAAAACAAATGAAAATAACACAGATCAAGGAAAAAGAATATTAGTAAAGAAACAAGAAACCAATTTCTCAAAATACAGTTTTGACAAATTATCAATTTAATGCAGTTGTTGACCGATTCATGGAGAATGTGAAATCCTACATATGTGTCCTGATGCTTACAAAACAACAAGAACAATTGTAATAATTTGTAAAAAATATATGCAGGTCTGTTAAATAATAAATTACTGACCACTAACACCAAATATATAGAATAACAACATCTGTGGACAATTTTCACATGACTTATTAGTCGGAATGATATTAATGAAGTTAGGAAATCTATCAAGCTCAAATCGCAAGATAACTGATGACGAAAACTTAACGTCAACATTGAGTCATTACTGGTCGTCTAACAATCGTAAAACACCGTCATGTTATTCACTTGACTAATGAGTCCCGATAGCCACTAGCTTGTATAATGGGATGAAGTTTAAATTCATTTTGTATTGTTTGTTTGAATCTTCCCATTGATGTTTAAAAGTGCAATTGACCGGTCCTGGATTCTACTGCTAGCCAACATCTATCTTACCTTATAATGCTTGTGACTTAAGGTAATATCGAGGCAATCCGTACATGATACACATACGCCAATAAGAGACTGATCAATTGCAGTCCTGAACATCAATAGGAAGATTCAAATAAACAAAACAAAATGAATTTAATGATAAGTTTGTTTGACAACGTCTAGGATAGCTAGCAGTCAAATGACAACAGGTGTTTTTGTTGCAAATTACAAACATCTACTTCATGCCTCGGAAAAGCACGTTCACAGCTACGATGGTGAAGGAGCGACAAAATGACAGACCAATTAACACATCAAACATATCTGTTCGTCCAACATCCAAAATAAATACAAAGAGAAGGGAAACGATAGCAATATAGACAGACGTACTAGGCTTGGAGGCTCAGACGGAGAAAATATTGGAGGCTCATATAGTAAATGAACTACAAACAGAGATGCATATAATGTAGAACGTAAAGTATATATATATATATTATCACTGTAATAACCACCCCAACACTGTTAAGGTTGTTATAACAAAGGTGGTGGTTACATATACTGGTCTATATGACATATAAAACATGATGTTTATTGTATATAAAATCCTTACATAGGTTATATTATTATTATATTACACCCCCCCAAACAAATAGGATTATGGATGTTTAAGAATATTTTTGTATATATGTGCCAATGGAGCGATAATTTTTTGTCTTTCTCAAGAGGAGAGAGTTTTCATATAGAAAACAAACAGAATTAAGTGTGTGTGAGTGGTAATACAAAAAGGAAAAAATTGGTTACTGAAAAAAGTCAATAGAAATATTAAGGAGAATAATGACGGTCATCAATTAGATGGTCACACACACCCCGAAAGCGTATGGTGTCTACCAGTATAGAAGAGGTTGTTACAAAAATACTCAATCGTACACATATATTGACAGTTCTTCCGTCAATAAAAATGTATGTCAATGTAAGTAGGTGTGTTAGCTCTTCAGCCCGCTACGATATGGTTTTAAACCTCTTTGTTTTGTTGCAATTCTGTCTACTTATTATTATATGGCTCACTAGAGCTCCACAATTTTTTGTGACAGCTTGAACTGATGTATATCACCATTACATTGACTATCAGGTAGTTAATGTTTTACGATTGCGTTCATAAAAAACAATCTAACTTATATAAAAATATATACACATACATATATAATCTTTTTTAGACTGTGTAACCGAATTTCTGCTACCGATTTAGAACGTGTTCTCTTCCAACCTCCACTGATATTTAACATCAATACAAACAGTAAGAGAATTAGAAAGAAAAAACAACTTTATTACTTAGACTTTAATAAATTCACTAACGTTCATGTGAAATCATAAAAAAGGCGATAGGATGTCAAACGAAGCATTTCCAAAATTGGTATTTGAAGTAAATTAAACAGCAAAATAAAAATTGAAAAGAAGCTCAAACAACGTTAACTACCTAACTTTACTTAATGATATCTATCAGCATAATTAACGTTGAATTGCAAACCGAACAATAAATATTTCACTGACTAGGATAATAAGATTCAATAGCAGCATATTAATTATGAAAAAGCGACTTTTTAATATTTTATTAATTTTGAATACTTTAAAGTCAATAAGTAATATATAGTTCAATGCAAATACAACAACATAAAGAGAGGAAAACGAGAAGATATGTTCATCAAATGGATAATTCTTTGAATATGATCATATTATTACATCCTAAATACATTGTGAACGTTCCTTCGTTCTCATATTAAGTGAAGAAAAAGTGTATCAAATGAATAGTATACACACAACACTTGAGAGAACAAATGCCCTATTATATATATATATATATATATATATATATATGAAGTATCATTAACAGTTGTTAGGTTTTTGTGTGCATATATTAATAACATACATAAGTGAACTTTTGATTAACATACAATTTTACATGTTGTTTTAGGTAGTCGCACACAACAATATCTGTACAGTATTGTAGACGTACGGAACTACACAGATGAACGAACACGTACAAACAAACAAGCACACAAACATCGATGACAATCAACAAAGCATTAAACATAAACATGTTTAACAACTATATATCGTGATAATTGAAAATGGGTTATAATACAAATCATATATACAGTGTATGCCTAAAAATTAGTTGTATACATAGAGTTTACTGTACAGAGATAAAGAAAGTATAGCGGTTTGTGGAGATTGTCCATTCCGAAGTAAGTTTTTTTTGCCTCAGACTGATTTTAGCTAAAGAATAATTGAAAGCGAAAGGTGTACAGGCCTAACCTAGTTCGGGACATCTAAGTTGTAAAAACACATAGAATCATATGGAGCATTCAGAAACATAAGACGAGCGTGATACACTTTGAATAATGAGTCTGAAGCAAATAGTGTACATTGTTATATTTAATCAATTAGCAACGAACATCCAATATCATTAGTAAGCAGCTTCCTTACTCTCCATATAGTTAGAGACCATATTCCTAATATAACTGAATTGCAAAATTTCTCATAATAGCTTTGTAATAAACATTGCAGGGGGTTACACTGTAAAATATCAACTACCACAGCATTAAAAACGCAAACACATGAAGGCAACGACCTAATATCTACGACAGTAAAAAAACCCAAAATAATGTAATGAAAGGAATGGAAACATTTAGAGGGGGGATAAAAGTGAAACCAATCAAGTAATGTCAGTGGAAAATTCTAAACATAGATTATCTCCCAGACTATAAGTGGGTACTTTGCACCTTTATTAACGAGTAAGAGCCTGAATAATACAGGTTTAGACCAATTCAGTTTAGAACTTTATCCAATAGTTAACTACATTTAGCTAGCGCTCTGAGTTTGAACTTATTGATACTCAGTAGATGACTTCAATATGTATGGAAAGTTATTCGAAGGTTCGTATGATCAAGCATTTGCGACCCACCCCCTGAAAGAGTTAACGGCCCTGAAGGATATAATTTGATGTAGTCAATTTAAATGTTGGCTAGCTTTAAGTCCCAATCCAACTGCTTATTTGAGTTAAAAATTAAAAACAGAGCGATGTGCTTCTTTAGGATGACTAATCGTCCAAAACAACGTGCTGGATACACTAATGAAAAGGCGTGAAACTTACATGGTTTCCCCGAACTTCTTGCTAAATATTATATCATAGGAACTATCATCCTAGAAACTAAGTTAAACAAGCTGACTTCTATTTGGTTTCTTCAAAAAAAACTTCTAGTTAATTAAAATAACAACGACTGAGACCAGTTAAGTGAAATGACATTAAAATTTCTAACGCACTGATCTTTTATCTAACTAATTACTTTCAGTTATCATATTTGATGTCTGAAGCCAAACAATAAAGGCCTATTATTCTCTATCGCCTTCACTTAGTGACGATCTTCCTAACACAAGAAAAGGGTTTAGGATCCATGTTAACTTCCTATTCAAACTGTTCATAAAATGTTTATGACAATAAGGGTGGCTGCACTATGTGTCGCGATGTTTTATCTATCATTCTGAATACCCGATTCGAAAGTAGATCGCCATTCTATCTTGTTCAGAGATAGATTACCTAGCTGCTGACTTTATAACCCTATACTTCTTGACAAGCCTAAAAACGATATACCATCGTCTGTTGTCACTGGTTTATATGTCAGCTTTGCACTCGTAACTCACTGCAGTTTACTAATATTGTGTAAACGTCCTGTTTCAGTGTTTACGCTTTCCTCCGTTTTTATTGTTCTAAACACCCATTAGCTTGACAGAAGCACCCGCGATTCATCTGTCTTTTCTATAAGCTTTGTAAAGATCTCTGTTGTTTTTAAAACAGACTCGAAGTCATCCCAGATGACCATAGAATCAAAACTTATTCAATATTTGACTGGATGCTTTTCTAATTTATTCTTAAGCAAATCACTGAAACTACATCTTTTAAATGGGCTCAAGGAAGTTATCCGCTCTAAAGATCAGTAATGAAGAGAATGTATACCTGTTCGCACTATTCACTTGGTGTCCGTAGTCACCAATTCATATATCTGCATTTATGTCTAAAGATGGTATTCACCAAATTCAAATGACCACCAAATAGTTACTTTAACGATTACGATAAACTCACTATGATAAAAACATAGAAAATACCACTTAAGCATCTAGAGCTACTGGAAAAAATAATCTTGATGATGATGTTACGCTTGGTGTATCAAATCGAGAAACAAGCTATTTTACGAATGAAGGATTTACCAAGTATTTCAGGCTTGGATAGTAGGAGCAGGGTATAAACAACTGGGGTCCAGATTCGTATGATAACACTAAGAAAAAAGCAGGTTTTCCCGAACACAGGTTTGAAAAAGGTTGAGTGAGTAAACGATGAATAAATAAGATAGGAACCAAAATAAACATAAGATGTGCATAGTGGTAACCAAATGAAAAATACACAGAATATACAAATGAACTTTGAATGTAAGACAAATAATTAGAATATCAGTAATTTGTAATTGGCAACTAATTATTCAAAAGCCTTTAAATGGACTTACTTGTTTTTCATCTAAATTCTTGTCACTAATAATGGCAGATAGTGCAGCTGGAGATATCATAGGGGGAAATGGTGGTTGACCAGTCACTCCATCCATTGGGAACATTAATGATCTTGGAGCATTAGGGTTAGAGAGAGAAGTAGAGGTGGGTGAGAACGGTGTATGTGCTCCAGAAGCAGAAGGACCATGATAAGATGAGGTCGCCAAAGATGCATTCGAAGATATAGATGATGGCAATGAAGCACCCGTTAGACTATTGCTGGTTCCAGGAGGAAATGAAGTTGATATATTGTTAATATGAGCAGGAATTTGAGAATAAGGATGACTATTGTTGTTAAGTAGGCCACTGGATAACTGATTCATAGTAGGATTTGTGTTACCAGGAGGGAAGCCTGCAGCAGCTACTGCAGCCATTGCTGCTGCAACTGCCGGATGAGATTGGGCAAGACCAGAAAAGAAAGCCGGATTATTAGGACCTGGGATACCAGAAAGGGATGACTGAATGCCAGAAATGCTAGGATTCCCCACAGGATTAGTATTTGTAGTTGGAGGTGTAACTGAACTGGTCATTTGTGGTAGAAATGGATTGGGAGGTAAAAGCAAATTGTTAGCAGTATTGTTATTTAGAGCTGGGAGTCCACTACTCAAACTGTTAATTCCAGTGCACGGAGGTGCATTGAGCCCACTTAGGCTAGTTAAAGATGGAGTGGATTGAGCTCCTCCTCTGGAGCCACTTATGGGTAGGACGGAATTATCGGATGGTAACTGCCCTAACGACGGTGGAATAAGATTGTGTGGGAACCCACTATTTAGTCCTCCAGATCCAGAATTCATCAGTAATTGTTGCTGTTGCATAGTCTATGGCATAAAGGGAATGGTAGTTTGAGAAACACTTTGGAGTCAATTCAGTATAAGTAATATAAATATATGTATAGAAGGAATCGACAAAACTTACCGCGTAGTATAATTTTTAAATTTAGAAAATAATGTACAGATGTATAGGAGCTACATTTCAATAATTAGCAGTGAATTAGGCAAAACTAGACATTGCTTTATGGAATCCTGAAGGCCAAAGAACACATTACGCCGAGAAATGGAGACAGACATGAGAAGAATGAACAAAACTTGGATAGAATTAGAAAGGAAGGCCCAGGACAGAGTGGGTTGGAGAATGCTGGTCGGCGGCCTATGCTCCATTGGGAGTAACAGACGAAAGTAAGTAAGACATCGCTTTATTTTTTTAGGACTAAAACCACTCAAGTTAGTATACAATACGGAAGCAAAAAATCAAATCACAAGGCAAAGATAAGGCACCTTGATGAAATTTGTTTGCTTTTCCGTTGTATAGAACTGTCAGTAAAATCATTGGTCCAGTCCACAACTCTCGAAGAGAGAAAATTTTCTGGCTCAGAAAGGACAACTTGCACTACACCACGAAACAAAGAAAATTCAATTTTCTGATCATAGGGATATTAAAAATATTTTGTTACTGGATAAACGACCAGAAAGTTTCTACAATTAAACGAAGAATAAATGACTGAAATTTTGTACCTCAAAGTTTCTGCTTTTAATTCAAAAATATTCAAACTATGGAGAGAAGGCCGATTAAAATTGAGTTAATTGGAATGATTTTATCATGCGTGTTCTGACTGGTGTTTGAAAGTGGAGTTTATCAAAAACCTACACAGAAGTCATTTTTAGACCAAAGTTCATAAAGCTATCTTTGTTGAAAACACATAACTAATTACCGATCACAGACTGCTTAAATCAATACATATAAAAAGCGACTAAAGAGACTAATTAAATGTTTCGTAAGGGTTTTAGAGAAAAATGCTCGGTTGCTCTAAAAGAAATGATAGCTGGATTAAATATAATCAACTGATTTAAAATTACAAATCCTTTGCAGCACCAGTTTGTGGGGACGTAGGTAGAATACTTTATTGTAATGATCTACCGTATTACTTCAAAACACTAAAAGTAAAAAACATTATTAAGGATTTGGAGTGCCTACAGAATATGTGGACCTTTTTAAACTCGTTGGGATGGACTTTAACCTGGACTGTCATATATGTTTGTATTGAAGTAAAAAGTCGGTCTTATAATCTTTGGATTTAAAAACTGTCTCATTGTCTAACGGCATTTAGAAAAAATACTTTATGTATATAAACCAATTTGGCCTTGCAAAAGTCCGAATTGAATTCACAACCAAAGTCTAAGTATTTAAGTTGGTTACAGGAAGTACCTTAAGAATGACCTTCCTAGTCTCCAATCATTATCGGTTTTGTTATATGTTGACAATGTCAAGATATGGAGAGAGATTAAAAGTAAAGGTAATAGTTTAGGCTTCGAAATAACCTGAAGAAATTGTCTGAATGGTCTAAAATTTGACAGTTGCCGATAAATGCTCCTAAGTGCATTACGATGCATACTGGTCACTAAGGTACAGATACATAGACGGCGAATGGCAGTGAGTTATCTGTCGTCCAGACTCACAAAGTCATTGTCATCCAAGACTTAAAAATTGTTGCACACTGCCCTGCGATAGCCACCAAGTCTTAGAACCCTTTGGTGAACACAGGGTGTCCAGCTATGTTGATGCTAAAAACTTTCTGACTTTGTACACAGTATTCGTTTGTCCTAAACCCGAGCACTGCATACAAGCCGCTAGCCCATGCCTAAAAATAGTTGTTAGAAGAGGTCCAATGAAGAGCGAATAAGCTGATTCTTGGAATCACAAAGCTCCCGTATTATGCTCGACTGATAAAACTAAACCTATTTTTATTGTAATATAGAAGAACCAGAGGCGACTTGATCACAGTTTTTAAATTAATTAGTAATAAATTCGCACCTAATAAGCCCTTACTTTTCTTGTCTTCCAAAACAGCGAATTCAAGTTCACAAGCCCAGAACAAAATACTTGTCAGCAGACTATCGATTTTCCCATCGAACCATCGACGAACGGAATTTATTACCTCAATACTTAATTAAAGTACCATCTGTCGACGCTCGCAGAAAAATCGGATTAACCGAGAGACCACCGTTGCTAGGACTAATACAGATCACCTAGCCTTCTGTCCTTCCCAAACGGAAACTGGTACATTCGGTTACTATATGCACAAAACTAAACAACAGGGAAATTATTTTAAATGTTTTACTAAGCTACTTATAGCTTCGCATTTTCCAGTGGTCTTCTTCATAGGGACGCGCTTGAATCTCCATAGAAAATATCAAACAAAACTTCAGGCATGTCATTTACCAAAATAGCTATATCTGAGAAACATATTACACGTAGCGTAAATACGTTTATTGATCACTGAGTATACGAAGCAATTAATATTTAAAAACAACCATGAGTATTATTTACAGTTAAGCATATTTCTTGTTTTGACTTCCTGAAGAATGAGAAGTATGACTAGCTAATATGCCTTGAAATTGGCATGTTACCGACTTGAAACACCAGGAAATTACTGAACAAAGACCTGAAAAATTGAGTGGTGCAGATAACAGAGTCATGATTATCTATGAAAAATTGCATTTCAACAGATTTGCATAGCGAGGCCATTCTACAATTTAACTACTTGAATGACAACTTGGTCACTAAATCCAAACACGATGTAAAAACCATCACTAAAGATTCTATTGCAATAACAGGTCGATATAAGTAAAACAAATTTGTCCCACCATCAAAATTACTAAAACGTAAGGTCTACTGGGAGTAGTGGATGATTTTAGATAGGTCCCATGAAAACTGTTAGGAACTTCTAAACAATAGTTTCATATTTCCATGGTCAACCTAACACCAAACTCAGATAAAAGCTCATTATACTGAACTACAGAAAAACGAACTTTTAAATGGCACCTGAAATCGCATTAAAGAACACACATAAGTTACAAGATGATGTAATCAGTTCTCAAAGCAATAATAAAAAAACCGAAGTTTCCCAAACAATGGAATTAGATGAAATGGAAAGACGTTAGTGAGTACCTGGTTAGGTCCACCATAAATACTTGTAACAGTACAAATCAATGAAACTATTTAAATTCTCAGCATAACAGTTATTGCTCGAAGCGCTACACTACAAGCAAATGAGAAGCAGCTAGTATCGACATACAACTAAATGAGGTCCAAGACATGGCCAAATGTGAAGCACAAGTAAATACCTGGTGGATATCATGATCTATTTGGCCACTGACAGTATAACATTAAAAAATAGCAACGAAACATATCCCTGTGTAGAAGAAAGTCAGCGGAATAAAAAAATAGTTATATGTACCGTAACAGTGATAATAGCAAATTCATAACAAACAACTTACCTTAAAAAAGTCCATTTGGTCAAACGTGGATCCAAGAGAACCGTTCAGGAATTTTGGGCCTTTAGACTCATCCATCTGTGGCTTAACATGATAAATAGATTTGCTATGGACCTACCCCTATAATACTACTAAGTTCCGATAGAGTAACTTGCTTTGCGCGGTCCACTGCTGCAGCAACCTGAGATTGATGCTAAAATTGTAGCTGAATGAGGAATAAAACAAACCTCTTGAGATAAAAATGGGATAACTTGTACCAAGATAGCATTAAGTCGTTTTGCGATCTCCATCTGAGGAAATAAAATGATAAAATTAAGCATACCTGTTTGTGCATTTCGACATTAAGTCCATAAGTTATCTCATAATACAGCAGGTAGTGACGCTGTAACTCGGACTTTTCCTGAACTGCCTTTTCAAACTCACATTTTAAACTGAAGCTAATATAGAACAATTGGATCCAACCTGTGGTACTGAGTTTGAAGGCCCAGAAGCTCATCTTTTATTTTGTCACAAGCTTCCGGAACAGAAAATTTTGTATGCTGGTTGCTTTGAGAAGAAGACTACATGGTGAGTAACAATAAATGATAAGACAAGACGTACAGAAATTCGTGAAGGATACATTAAAAGTGAGTAACGAACCAGCTACTATCCATGAAGAATGACCAGTAATATCCAACAGCGCGTACAATTAAAAACGGTGGATAACAAGCCCTATGATCTCTCGCTCTAATATGAAGCATATAAACAAAGGCTCGAGTTATTTGTTACACCAAAGCATAAAAAGGTTCTGCACAATAAAAGTTCAGGAATTACTGTTTCTACAGGCATCATAACAAAGAGATTATGTTAGTTATACCTCATTTTGCCTCTGTTTTCACACGAATCAATCAGACAGCCGCCAATTTAGAACACTAATATACAAGGGCAATAATAAGTCTAAATTCTACTACTGTAAAGCAGACCTGGAATTTATAATTCTTTAAGTTTTTCAAAAAAACTTCACATGGATTTTCGTGAGAAAGACTTGTATTTTGCTGGTGACGGAAAATAGGACTTCATGTTTTTATTTCCTCCTCCTTTTATGTGTCTAAGTGACTATATATAGATATTGATGATTCGATGTTACTAAGCTTGATATTTAGGTAAACGTTTTCTCATATCCGTCCACAATCATTCGAAACCAAATCTTGGAGGTGGAGATGAACTCTAGAGATTCAAATTCGGCTTGAGATGTTTCGTGCAGAAAGCTAGAATCTTTATTATATCACATGCTGACGTTCTTTTTACACTTATAAAATGAGTTGTTTGTACTTCTTGAACGGCACTCATGACTAGATACTATTAAACATCGCGTTCTTTCTATTCTTGAAAACCACTTTTCACACTGTAGCTGTAAATAAATCCCCTAAATCAATAGCTACGTAAGTGTTGGACATTGGATACTGAACACATTAGTTTTAGTGGACTCATTTAGCTAAAGGAGCTCGGTAATGCATTTGTACCAGATCACGTTTCGGAACGGCGTGCGCAACATCTCCTACGATCATTAGCCAGATTAGACCAGTTACTTCTTGATATATTGATAACCTATCAAATATATCTTCCAACCTCCTCATTGGGTGGGTGCGATTCGATTATAGGTGTTACTGGTAAATTGTTGTCGAACTACAATACCTGTGGTATCTTCAACACTAATGATTTGAAGTACTGGACTATTATAAATTACAAATGACATTCCTAAGTAACAGCAAGTTATTAAAGAAGTGTAGAAGTTTACAAGTAAGCCTAGATAAATAGAAGCACCCCGACGAGAATTAGTGTGCGAAAGCAAGCTGTTTGTTTTGGACGTCGTGTCACAGAAATATTGTTGTAGAAAAAATAAACTCAGTTCCTAAACCTAAATAAAATTCAATTATAAGTAACACATATCCTGATGAAACTAGAGCGTACAGTTTGATTACTATTCATATGATCGAAAATTAATGCACTTGATGATCAAATTACGACATCAAAAAGTAGCTGATAATACTACAGGTCTGGTATGGAATGATTACTTCCGGTAAACGGTACTCAAAATAAATAATTTCAAGACGAAACCTCATGCTGCTGTGTGTCTATATCACCTTGAATATACCACAAGTATTCGGTGTCCTGGTGTGTTAACAACTTCGCTTTGGCAATAGGTTAATTAACTGTGAAGAAAGCATTTTTGCGATATCGTCCAACCAGTAACATCTTTTATGATGGAAATGTACCAACGCAGTCAAACCAAAAGTCAGAAGCGAAAAGGTTCTAAGATATAATTAATGGAATATTGATATATCGAGGTGTAATCAGTCTAAGCTGGCTAACGGTTGTAGGAGATATGAAGTACAGCGTACCTACTTGTGGTCTAGTTCGAATGCATGGCCGAGCACCTTCAGGTAGGTGAGTCCGTAAAAACTAATGCTGTCAGCATCATGTGTCGAAGGCTCACAGAGCTACTGATTTTGGGGATTTGTTTACCACTAAAACCTTCATGTTGAAGATTCCCAAATGATTGCTGTCAAAGTTGACAGCCACACCTGCTCTTAACCTTAAAGATGTTTGTGAAATTTAATAGAAACTGAACCTATCCAGTCCAGAGTCACGATACAAAGGAGGGTTTTCTAAACCAGATCACTTGCTGTAAACTAAGCGACGAATCCTATGTGAAAAAAGTTCACATGTTTACAATAAAAACCAAGGTTACTAAGAGCCTTTAGTACTCAGTAATACAATATATATATAGTTACTCCTTGACATATATTCGCCCACTTCAGTGGAATGGCCAAGATCAACTACAACAAAACTACGATTATCTAGCATGTGGAACTGAGTCCTTCCCAACTTACAGTTACAATAACAGGTTGATATGTCATAAATTTATAGAGGCCACTTATTTTTGAAGACATATGCGAGATATGAGGTGTGAATGGTAAGTTTAAGGGTACTTTGTATTGGGCCTTCAAAGGCTAGAACGGAATCGTTGACCATTTAAATGAACTGAAGGTATGATCTGTTATGTCTCGTAGGTTGAACGCTTTATTCAGATCTTACGCTATTCGGATAACCCCCAGGCTAGTACTACTCAGCGACTTGAAGACCAGAGAGAAGACACGAGTAACAGAGAAAACGCTTTACTACAAGGTTCGTTTTTGTACAGAAAATCGTAGGTATTTATAGATGTTTGCTTAAGTTAAATCAACATCCTAATTCAGCCAATCCACTTTACGACATATGTTGCTACTGACCAATGGTAGCATGCCACGTTGGAACTCCAGAATGTTCTGTCGTACTCTGATTGGTTGGGGCTCTTTTTGAGCCTCTGGAGGCTCTGCTGGGGTTCTCTGGAAGCCGACTTAACATGATCAGTATGGGTAGATAGTTGTAGCCCGTCACAAAGTAAACTATAATGTAGTATAAGAGGTTTACGAAGGGATTCTGGTGAGACTACAACTTATGATGCTAAAGTTCCCTTGAAAAAGTACCGCTTTAGAGTGATGCTGTAAATAAACTCTCGATTACAATGGAACGAAGACTGATACGACTGGACGCAAGAAAGAAGATAAGTCTACAGATAAAGATTTTACTATCTGCTACAGAAATCCACTACGAACCGATAGATATTTACAGAAAATGCACTAGTTTATATCTCATTCGTTTGTGGTTTAACAGACAGATTTGAGTAAAATGAATTAAGTATTGCTTCACATAACGAAAGATATTTTCTTTCATAATACCATATTGGAATATTTCGATCCTTCCAAGTATAAGTACTACGTCTTCACCTTCCTGGTATACAACAATGGCAACAAATCAGGCCATAATCACACCAAGTTTGAATCACTGTGCTGTGGGGCTGTAGTGGCATTTGGCCCTAACCACACGATCTTCAAAGTTGACCATGAGACAACTAGGAAAATAGTTTTTTAACACTTAACGCGGAGAAAAATCCATCGATGGAGAAGGAGGGAGGAAGGAATTCAATTATTTCAATCCGTCGGGTGGCATGGCTCAGCTTTGCAGGCGTGGTCACTCTGTATGAATTGTATTTACTCATATTAAATATATTGGTTTATCTCTAGCCTGAATGTATTTTCCATCATATATTGGTGATAATTACGATTGGACCGGTAAATGTACCTTCTGCGTAAGATCTTGTAGATTAGGCAGTTACATCATGACAAGTCTACAATCCTAAGACTAGGTCAATTATTAGAGTAGTACTAATAACGAAGTACATCATAATTCTACGGGCTTGCCTATTTCAGTCAACTGCTCTTTTTCTGGTTGCTCCAACTGCAAAATACACCCACCCATTTTCTTGCAAAAACGGGTAAGCTACTCGACACACGCAAAGTTGGCTGCTGGGACGGTCAGAGGTAACTTTGCGATTTCGAGTGTCGATCACATTTTATTCTTGTATAGCATTTGGTCACTTATTTTCATTGTTTTCATTCTTCAAAAAATTGTCTCGCCCGCTTCCTCCATAGTTTATCTTTCATTTTGCCTTCTAATAGCGCTGTCTACATTAATTACACTATGAGCACTCAGACGGCTATCAGAGGTAGAGGTCTTAAATCCATGGTTATTAGTAAGTCGAAAATGCCCATTTTCGGCAATAGGATTATGAGAAAAGTTGAGACGACATTGGGTGAAGAACGTCGCAATGATTAGTCTAACATGAATCGCTCAACCCAAAAACCGATACTGAATCACCAACTAAGTAATCAGGACCACACTCTTACCCAGAACCCACTTTTAGTAACATTAGTAAGCAAAAACGAAGTAGGGGAAACGGTGTCCCAAACTGCCTGTGTTGTTAACTAATGGGGGGAAACAACACAAAGACGATTAATGTAACGCATTTTCGTCGCTCTTTAAGATCATTGACTTGACGTTTGAATGTAATTTCTGTATTGACTGAGTTCACTGTCACTGTGATACAGCAGCACTTAGGCAGTTTATGTCAAGTTACTCCTGTCTGTTGTCTTGGTATGCTTGGACACAATTCAAAGAGAATACACCAAACAAACTAACAAAAGGGAATCACAGGGCCCCATCGAAAATAATCACAACCACTCCCACAAATATGCCAATTTAATCCTACACAGGCTCAGTCAAACACATAAATATGGGAGCCACGATCCGAACTCATACACCGGAACAATTATCAAAAGTTGCTAACACCTTAATATCTGTTGATATTAAGGAGAAGCAATTAGGAGATTGGAAGGAAACTGGCATAAACGTGGCCCCTAAAACGCTATAAATGCAGGACAAAGGTGTTACACAAAGCCCCTGATTTTATTTAATTTCCTAGTGTCAGTGAGGAGCTTGCTGGAATGTAGGGAAGCCAGTGATTAAGAACAGTGGGACAAATCCTATACAAGGCTGGGAAGAAGTATGACTTCAGACAAGCTTGCATAAGAGTCGAAAGATAGCAAAACGTCAACCACCTTCACTGAAGGTAGCTTTAGACTCAGCACACGTTAGATAAGAAATTTTACTGACAACCAAAAGACCGTCAGTTAAGCGATCTCTTTAAATCCGAGCTAGACACAATTAACGGCGTACTGCTAGAAAATCGGCAAGAACTCAAAAACTGAGAGCAATTGTGGTTCACGGAGCGTCTAAGCCCGTAACTGGTACTCAGGATTGAGCTCGCGAATACGATATGCGATAACGGCATTA